CCGCTTGGTATCCTGGAACCGGTAAGGAGGAGCTTCCAAGGAGGCCGAATCCTCAAGGTAAGTGAACAGTATCCGGTAGGGAGTTGCCGCGCAAATGTCCGTGATCACTCGGGAAAGGTCTGCAATCACTTCCGAGGGAGGCGTGTGAGGGAGCACACCATGCAAATACTGCCAGGTCTTGTCATCAATATTGATCAAATGAGAAAGAGGTCCCGTTCTGAGCTGGTGCAAATATGATCTGATGGGTTCAAAATCTGGAGCACGTCCAGCCTGATGCTCGGCTTCGCAAGTGGCAAGGTATTTTGATAGATCCGCAAGACGACTTGCCACCCCACAAAAGATGTTCCATTGCATCAGCGCATGGGAGGAGCGGCGATAATGCTGAATATCAGGCCCTTGGTCCAACCAGTGATAATGGGTGAGGAGGAATGTGAAGTCGAGTGGCTGTTGATATTGTGGGGAGGAGGGGGCCTCCTGAAGACTGGCTATGGCCCACACTGCCTTGTAGCAAGTAATCCGACGGCGTTTTGAGGCCTCTGGCAACAGCAATCCACTCTCGCAGCTGAGGAGGAGGTCTTTTATGCGCCATGACAATTTTAGTTCAGGATCGCGCAACAGCTGCTGAACATGGTCATCATACACGTGTCGCCTTTGGTTAGGCCCCCACAATACGTTGGGGATTGCCTCGACAAATGGTTCGAGTTCTGTGTCATCAGCCAATGATTTGACAGTCCAGACGAGGGCTTGATAATCCCGAGTCCTCCGTGCAATTGACAGTTCCGTGGCGCACCGACACATGGCCTCCACCATGGTTTCCTCCGATGAGGATTCGCATATGTCGTGAGCCGCCTCTTCCGTTCGATGCCGACGGCGCAATAATGCCATGGCTTTTCGGGAGAGGCGCCAAAATGCAGTTGAAAGTGGAGTCCGGTCCGGACAGTCGAGATATCGCAACGGGAGGAGAGTGAGGAAGGCGTACACTGCGGCAAGAATGGCCAAAAGCGCCCCGGCCACTCCTGCGATGGCGGTGTTGACTGGGATGAGGAAGGCGACAAGACCGGCGAAGAAGAAGATCAGGGATGTGTGGAGAAGTAACGGAATGATCTCCACGACTGTATGCATGTTGAAGTGTTTCAGCCCGTAATATAGGTACGAGAAAATGCGTGCGCGAATGACGGGTGCAGAGCGCATGTCCGCCCTGTGCAGGAAGTCGCGTGCCCACTGCTCTAGGAGAGTCGCAATGAGGGCGCACGTAAGACTAAGCCCAAGACTAATAAACCAGAGGATATTGCAGGCGAGCGAGGTGGCCGGTGGGGTGAAGACTGGGGGTGCGGGGGGCAGGAAAGTGCTCCCGTTCGCAGCCGCTGCGAGCTGCAGGGAAATCTGTCTGAGGAGCTGCACGGTAGACTCGCCAGAATTGGGGACAAGAGTCTTGTAGCTCTCGATGATGAAAGCTGTGAGACTCGCCGAGAAGAGACCCGCCTGTGGCGCAGTCAGGATCATCAGATATTCAGGACGTCACTCCAAAATGCACGTACAAATATTAACATTCCCTCCATGTCACTTTTCCAACTCTCCACCAGCGCTTTGTCGTATTTTTCGGCCTCGGAAATGTACACTGCCCAAAGCTTCGCCGCCGCCGCTTCATCGCTCGGATTATCATAGAGTTCTGTGATTGATGAGAACTCGGTGTTCACATGTGTAGATGGGTCCCACCTGGCTCCTGGGCGTGAACTGCGCTGCCTTTCTCCTTGTCTGACATGGTGGGCGCTGGATGAGTGGCTGGCGCCTGATAAGCACCGATCCAACACCGATGTGACATATCTGTTTGATTCGGCGCCTATCTGATAGGTTGCTAATGATAGATTCATTATTTGATGGCGAAAGAAAATTTGAGGCAAGATAGGTTTCTTCCGACTCACATGTCACTCTTCCAACTGCGTCCGAGTGGGGGCCGGGTCGAGAAACAGGAAATCCTAGACGGGTTATAACCCACGGTAACCCACCCCCAAGCGAAAAATATAAGGCTCCGTCGCAGTGTGAACTGCATCAGTAATACGTCTCGCATTTGGACAAGATGCAGCAGAGGGTTCATGTTCCTGTTTGACTCAGGCCGGAGCCATTTGCAGTTGGACGTGCTCTGCATTCTTTCCTTTTTTTAGCCTGTTCTGCCGAGTAAACATTATCTGAGGAAGATAGGTAGTACATATCGTCCACGCCCACGAGAGGGGGGTGGAAGACGCCGTCGCGGGGAGGCTGCATCTGCAACAGTAGAGAAGTTTAGCCATCCAGTGTTCCATTTCGTTTTTTTCCCCTCTTCGTAAGTATTCTACAGCAAATTTTCCAATCCAATTTTCTCACGTCAATTGGCTTTTAGCAAGGCCTCCAGTCTTGTTTTGAACCTAGCATCTCGAGGGAGCGGATGCGCCGCCTCCGGTTGATTTGGGGGAGACCAATCAGCAGATCACGTTGCCCCGCGCGTCGCGTCGCAGTGGCAAGCGGAACCAAATAAACCTTGCAGACAATTTTCTGAGTGAGTCCTGCTCGAGAGATCTGCTGATCATTAGTATACATCAAACCTCGCGCGTCCGGCATGCACAGTGGGTAGCGCACGGTCTCCTTAACAAGCCGAGGCTCAGAGTTTTATGTCTTAATGTATATATGTGAGCAATCCTAACCAAGGCGGGGTGATAGTCAGGCATAACCCACCACCCAAAGCAGGGATTTAAGGCTTTGTCGCGGTGTGGACCGTATCTGCAATGCGTGCTAAATTGCCAGCGAAGTTACGCAGAGCACGCCTGTTCGACTCAGGCCGGAGCCATGCCCAAGGTTGCTGGTTCTTTTTTAATTTTATTTCGCTTGTATAACCCTAGCTTCCTGGAGATCGGGGTAATTTCCTTGCACACGTTGCCTCCAATTATCTGAGACTCTAAGAGACGCTGGAAGAAGGTAGGGCCTTGGGCAGTATAACCAGCCGCCGAAGCATGAATTCGAGACTCAGTCGCGGGTGGCCTGCATCCGTAACACATCAAAAGGGCCTTCCACATGAATAGTAAAATGTTCCTGTTCGACTCAGGCCGGAGCCATTCAATGGCCACATATATAGACTTTTTTGTTCGTGTTTGCAGCGCAGGAATCATCCGAAGGATAAGAATAAGAACCTACCTCTAGAAGAAGGATACGAGGCTCCGTCGCAGTGTGGACTGCATCTGCAACACGTAAAACGTGCGATGTCAATTACGCAGAGACCGCCTGTTCGACTCAGGCCGGAGCCATCCAAGGTGATTGAGTGTTTTTGGTAGTCGTTTCGTAGGTCAGTGATTATCTGAGAGGCAAGCAGTATAGTCGAGCCTCAAAAGACGGATACAAAGCTCCGTCGCGGGATGGCCCGCATCTGCAACCTCTATGCTCAATATGTAATGTCAGAGTTCAGCAGAGTGTGCTTGTTCGACTCAGGCCGGCGCCATAATTAGTGTGACATCTTCCTTTTTGGCCCCATTGCGGCGCGCCTGTTTACAAGGAGGACCAGGAAGATAGGTAGCATAAGTTATAACTCGCCTCCGGAGGTTAGTGACTGCATCTGCAACTTATCTGCTTGCAGGAGCGATTTCAGCAGTGAGCCTGTTCGACTCAGGCTGGAGCCATCCGGGTGTTGGCCGCTCTTTTGTAGTTTCGTTCTGCGGCGCCGTAGTCGAGGCGGCGAATACCGTCCCTCCACGAGCGGCTGCGTCCGTCTAACGATTCTCTTTAGTCTCGAAAAAGATGTAAATTATAATATACAGTATGGTGCGGCGTGCGACTTTAATGGTACCCCATGCGCATACCCTGTCCCGTGGAAATCGCCCTCGTCTCCGAAACAACTCGCTCCCCTTCGCTCCCGCGTCAAGAACGAGCGAGGCCGGACATGGAGAGTTTAGAGCGACAGGGTCGCGTGTTGCAGGAGGTAAACTGCTGCGAAATTCAAGTCGTCAGCGCTCCGCTCTCTTGCAGATATAGAAGGTAGAATGTAGGAGGGAGAAGGGAGGAAGGTTGAAAGTCGAGCAGAATGGATGAACGGGTAGGATGTACGTGCAGGAGGCGTTGCGCGGGACGAGTTTGGATTCGGAAGCATGGAGGAGGAAAGAACGAAAGACGAGGAAGGAGGAAGAGGAAAGAGTTGGGCAACACAAGGAAGAAGGTTGGAAGAACGAGAATCACAAAGCACTCACCCAATTCCGTATCCCGATTACTCAGTCTGCACAGAGCTCATCCCACACTCCTCCCCCTTCTCCTTCCCCGGCGAAGAGCAAGCAACTTCGACGGTAAGCAACGTGCACGCGGGACGGGGAAAGGGCGGGCTCTCTAGTTTCCTGCTCGCGCGCTCGTCTTGATGCTCCCTGCGCGCGGGGACACCGCTGCGTCGGCGGCCATTCGCTGCCGGGGCGCTTACGGACGCCCCGCCGAAGACACCCGAGAGAACCCGCCCGCCGCGTACGCGCCGGGCACGTGTCCCATAACAGCGTGCGTGGGTCGAGCGGCGTTGTGGCGTCGAGACGTCCAGCTGTCTTTCGTGCAGACGAAGAGGCAAGGGAAGAGTTGAGCGCGAGGGTGCTTTTGGCGTTGCGAGGAGCGGGCGTCCGGCGGCGCGTGTGGGTCTGGGCGGGCGGGAGGAGCGGCGTCGATGCCGACATCGTGGGCGCCAACGAGCAGGATGTCAATGTCGTTGTGATGTCATAATCAAATCAGATGCCTATGGGGATTGCCGGATTGGGGAGGTGGTTCAGTTCGACCGTTCAACGTTCAACTTCGACGCGTCGCACATATCCGACAGTTAGGTATTTCAATTTGCCCTCTCTGCATAGTGCCGTATTGTCGTAAATGCTTTCTGCATGTTTTCAAGTGGTGGAGTGAGGCCCGGATCCTGGGCGCTCCCCTAGAGCTCCGACGATGATGTGCACATGCGCAGTTCACGCCGCCCGTTCAGGCACGCCGATCTTCGAGTGCTGAGCCCCGCTCCCACCGGCTCGATGGCGGACGGTCCGCGCCTGCACTGCATAGCGACAATTTTGCTGTCTGTAAGCGCGGGAGACGCCCGTTCGACTCGGGCTCGGGCCATTTCAATTTCGTGTCACATCTTTTTGGGTGGTGGGCGATTGAAAACCTCCGGCTCCGGAGTAGGTTGGGAGAGTGGCGCAGCACTTCATGTCCGTGCGGTCGTTTTTAAATCCCCGGGCCCCTCAGTACACCCTTCACCTGATACTATCCTTGACCATTGCTCCGGACAAACCTACAACTCGGACAAACAAGTATATCTCGGCCGTTTCTGCACCGACTTACAAGATCATGGGCTCGATACATTCCTCAGCATATGTTCTATGCTATCTGCATGGAAATCCAACACTCACAGGCCTCATGTATTTCTTTCCTAATTACGAAGTTGCTGAGTTTGCTGCTTTTCCCAGATTTATCCACAATCATGGCTATAGAAGGCTCAGACTGTTTATAAAACACGTTGAGGGGATTCATTTTATCCTATTAATATGTCCATGCAAAAATTCAGGCTTCGTGGGGACCTACAGCTCTTGCAGTACCTGAAAATGTGGGTTTTCCCAGTCAAAACTGGCAGTTTTGACGCTTCCTACGTATCTAAAAAAAAAAAAGGCTCGAAACACCAGCTTTCTAGGCCCTTCACAGACTAATGGTGTTTCTCAAGGGTAGATATGATGCATACCCCTTGCTACAAAAAATTGGAGTCCTGCGATGAGCCATGCCTCCGGCACAGAGCCGGCATTCATAATTTCATGTGTTACCTACTACTCGGACAACAGGACTCAATAAAAGATTTGCCGTCGTTCGACGGTAAATGGTCCGTTTCGCATCGACCAAAATATGGCCCCGGAGTAAAAGACAGATTGCAAACGATCTGCCGACTCGGATTTACCCCCACACGTCTACCTGAAATGCTATGCGACATTCTATGTCCGTCAACGATAGTCAATCACGCATACGGCTCGATGGCGGACGGCCCGCGCCTGCGTTGCATATCTGAGGATCATATTGATGCTTATTGCAGGAGACCCCCGTTCGACTCGGGCTCGGGCCACTTTTTGGAGAGGAACATATTTTTGTTGGCGGGAGTTGTACAGCGGTGCGTTAAAACAGCGGCGCAGGAGCTGCCAGCTCCTCTCAAATGGATCCTTCTGTGATTCAATTGGTGGCACGCATGCTACTCGTGGCTAAATGCGCCGTGAAATTCACGTATCTTCCTGTTCCAGTACCCCACAGCCCATGTATCGAAGCAGATTTATTGAAGGACCATTCATCGCACATGATGGCCCGATGGCAGCCTGCGCATATCGAATACTGTCGGTGAAAATTTAGGTCCAGAAACCCTTTCGACCCAGGCTCGGGCCATGATCAAGAAACCGCGTGTTTTTTTGTTTTGTTTTAGTTTCGCGGGTGAGATGGACCGCTTAGATTCTGCTTCAGCGCGGGCAGGGCCGTGCGCTCGATTGAATAACGTGGGAGCGCATCGGAAGATGTCAGTCCCGAGTACTGCCGGGCTGCACAGTTACAAGTTAACAAGCGCTTATAGTCGAGCACCGCTTTATATGCGTATTTGTAGGAGACGCCCGTTCGACTCGGGCTCGCGCCGTGGGGGTGCGAAAACTTTTTGGGGGGCCTCGGAGCTCCTGTGCGCTAGACGCCGCAGCGGAAGAGGGGAGGGAGGGGAGCGCATGGAGAGCGCAAAGTTGAGGAGCAGGGCCAGGAGGGAGATGGTGCGAAACGATCTGCGCTCCGGATTCATTAACCTCAGACGTGGTTCAGTTCGATGGGTTCGATTTCAGTCAGGTTTCTGAGTCCCCTCAATTGTAATTTGGTTTCTCCGGAGTCCAGTGGATTTGAACGTGAGCAGTTCAACTGTAGAGATTATTTGATCTGGACGGACTGCACACAGGCAGTACAAAAGGCGGGACGACATGTGTATGGTCGAGCGTCGTTTTCTACGTAGAACGGTTCGATGGCGGACGGCCCGCGCCTGCGTTGCGTATTTTGCTTCCGGAAATCCCGTTTATCGCCGAAGAGGCCCGTTCGACTCGGGCTGGAGCCACCCGTGCCATTTGTTGCCTCGCTTGCGGATGGTTCAAATTTTAGAGGGTGGTTGGGAGAGCGGTGTAGAGTTGTGAGTCATCTCAAAGCTAAGGTGAACAAAGTTCACCTCGTTGGTCTCTCCCTGAGTCCGAACTGCCACTACACGCTCATTTACATGTACAGCAAATTCATTGATTGCTGTTTTGCTGTTTTAAACAACAGTGACCAGCAAGGCCGTACTTGATATTGAAGGACCACTTTCCCTTAGCATCGGCTGGATGGCGGACGGTCCGCACCTGCACTGCATATCTTTCCGCCAAGGTCCTCGTTGACTGCAGGAGACGCCCGTTCGACTCGGGCTCGGGCCATTAGTAGGCGAACGATGCTTTTTGTCGTGGGGGCAGAGGTGTGCTCTCAATTTCACCTTTCTTTGAATTATTCCTGAATCTGAATGTGCTCAGCTTAGTTCGCGCCACCTGCGCTTCTAGCGAGCACATAGGACAAGTAGACCCGTTCACTCAAAAAGGCGGATGTGCCTAAGGTCAAGCACAGCTCCCTGCATAGGAGTCAACGGCTCGATAGCGAACGGTACGCACCTGCGGTGCATATCCTGCACATATTCAGTTGGAATCACATGAGACGCTCGTTCGACTCGGACTCGGGCCACTGGTGGTGACGGACATTCTATTGGCTTGCGCGCGCTTGACACGGTGGCGGTGCTTCCGCCTCTTGCCACTTGACCCAGACTTCTGCTCAATCGCTTGATTATCGCCTGGACTTCTTCAAGGTAGCCGAGGGCAGCCAGTGGACTTCAAACATTCCCTTGCGGCCAATCTTGAGGGTAGCATTCCTTGCCGCGCACCTGCTGCAGCTCCAACCCGTGAAAGTCTGGTCGCTGTACCGGTGTAGCTGTGATTGAGCTGTGACATGATAGGATGAGTTGGTGCACCTTTATTGAAAGAAAGATGAGGTGTGTTCAAGGAGCAGTGTCAGGAAATCATGCGACGACGGCACGAGCAGAATTTATTGCACGAACGCTGTTTGAACCCTGCTCAGGCGAGTATAGGTGGCCATGATGCTGCTCTATTCCACCACATAGTGTTGCCTTCTTTATTCCCATCCAGATATCGCGACTATCCGGTAAGTTCACCCATATTGACGCGCCTGAACTCTTACCTGAACTTGCCGCGCCCACGCGCGTGACCGGCCCGAGATCGATCAGTTGATTACGTGAGGCAGCGCTTTGCCGCGGTCAAACTTCTGTCTTCCTCCTCCATCGGCGTCTAGTTCCCTGGGGTGATTTGGTTAAGGAGAAGGCATAGTCGGTAGGGATTGGGCTAACCAAATGCTAACACACTCTGGGATCGCCTTGCATAGGCGGGCATGTTCACCTAACCCAAGCAATGTAGAAGATGGCACGAGAATTTTAGCGTACGTCAACAGTTCCGCTCCCCCGAAATATTAGTGGTAAATGATAATATAACAGTGACAGTGTTGTTAAACTATCTTCCTTAATTGAAGAACAAATCAGTTTGCTTCGGCGGAATGACCAGCGCAAAGAAGCGGCAGGTTGGTCGGTCCCCCGCCACGTCATCCGCAGGAACTCACCGTACCACCAGACAAGTCTCGTCAGCCTATTCCAGAAGTTCCAGCAACCAGCAGCAGTGCCTGGAACGCCTTGCTACGGTCCACTTTATCCGATGCAATCCAACCAAGGGCCGAAGGCTGGCGCAGTGGGCTCGATGCCCTGCTCGTATTTGTATGTTTCTCGGCTCATCACCGGCTAAGTTAATTTTCTAACTCGACCTCGGGGGTTAAAGTTAGGTCTATTCTCTGCTATTGTTACGGCATTCATCATCCAGTCCCTGGTTACACTAAAACAAGACGAGATTGCAAGAACCAACGAAATTTTGTCAAATATCACAAACATCATTTTGGCGATCAGTGGCACAAATATCACCCAACTGAACCTCCCACAGCCCGCGGTTTTCGTCCCTCAAGCGAGTGATGTGCGGCTGAACGTGTATTTAACACTTTCTCTCATAATCAGTGTGCTTACGATTTGTTATTAAACTTTCGAAATCTAATCCTAGTCTCGCCAGCTATCAATCGGAGCGCTCGCTATTGCCTGCCGCGGATTTCTCAATCTAGTCGCATGGTCGCAACACAACAAAGCTGTCGAGAGGTTGACGGACATCACAACAAGATGGAAGGCGGCTGAAAAGCGCCTAGGCCCAGCCATCGAATCTTTGCCTCAACTCCTCATTCTCCCCGTTCTTTTATTCATTCTGGGCCTACTGGATTCTCTGTTTTCTGTTGCTCTGCAGCTCTCGTCTCCACCAGTCTCAATCATCGTTACGTCCGCCGTCTCGGTCGCAATTGTTGCGGCTGTCGCAGGGCTGATGGGCTTCACCCTTGTCGAAGGGAGTCTCCATCCGACGACATCGCCGTTTCAGTCTAGATTAGCCCATGTTCTGAACGGTTCACTGGTGCAGCACATTCGGCCTATCGTTCTTCGCCTGCGGAAGAAGGCTTTCACCACATTTCTGAATCAACCAGATCCCTCGCCACCGCTCGCCCCAACACCACCTTTGTCGGCGGAGGCCATGAATATCTATCATGAAATTTTGCAAGCCACTGGAGACGACGATATCCTTGACGAGGCATCTGCAGCTCTATTTCACGTCATTGCCCAAAGGACGGCAAACCAACCCGTTTCACGTCGATTCTTCCGACGGATACCGATCGATCTAATGGCGCAGGAGTGTGCGACTCTGTTACATCTCCTCTCCCCGGAAGCGAGTGTCCGGAGCAATCGCACTGCTGCACAGGTTATTGTGGATATGGCAACGACCGCACGGGCGCGTAAGTCCTCGATATTGAATTTATATGTTCCACTAAGTTCTTTCGTAGGACCGCTCAGATACTCCCAAAATGATATGGGGCGTCTTCTGCCCAGTCTGTCGAAGGCAGCCCGAAGGGCGGCGACTGGGACCTCTTCAGCAGATCTCTGGGACTCTGAG